TCTTGGTAGAGACTGGTGGATGTGGGGTTCGGAGGAGACATTCAGTTCACGACTTCTGAAGGCTGAGTTCCTGAGACCCAAGGAGGAGAAGAGAGGGAAGACAGCTGATGGGCAGGCTTCCACAAAATTGGCTCAAATCCTGCATCTATTCCCTCCTGCTAGGCCTTTCTTGGCTCTCCTTCTCTATCTGTATTGTGTGGATCAGCCTCAGAGTGGAAGGTCAGTCTCCTAAACTTCACATTTCTTCCCTCCATTTCCATGAGCTAGAGAGACACTAAAACAGGAGTAAAAACAGCAGGCAAAGTTGCTTGCCTCCATTAGCTGTTAGTAATAGTGGGTGACAGTGCTGGTGATGACCTAATGATGATGGTGGTGATGATGGTGGTGGTGGTGGTGATGATGGTGATGGTGGTGATGATGGTGGTGATGATGATGGTGATGACAATAATGATGGTGGTGATGGTGATGATGGTATGACAGTAATGATGGTGGTGATGGTGGTGATGATAATGGTGGTGATGATGATGGTGATGGTGGTGATGATGGTGATGACAATAATGATGGTGGTGATGATGATGGTATGACAGTAATGATGGTGGTGATGGTGATGATGATGGTGATGGTGGTGATGGTGGTGATGATGGTGATGACAATAATGATGATGGTGGTGATGGTGATGATGGTAATGACAGTAATGATGGTGGTAGTGATGGTGATGATGGTGGTGGTGATGATGGTGATGACAGTAATGATGGTGGTGATGGTGGTGATGGTGATGATGGTGGTGGTGATGATGGTGATGGTGGTGATGATGGTGATGACAGTAATGATGGTGGTGATGGTGATGATGGTGGAGTTGGTGATGGTGGTGATAGTGATGACAGTAATGATGGTGGTGATGGTGGTGATGGTGATGACAGTAATGATGATGGTGGTGATGATGGTGATGGTGATGGTGATGACAGTAATGGTGGTGATGATGATGGTGGTGGTGATGATGGTGATGGTGGTGATGATGATGGTGTTGGTGATGGTGATGAAGTTGGTGGTAATGATGATAACAAATACATGGGCTAATATCTGTATAGCACTTGTTATATGCCAGGTACTCCATGAGGTAAGGATTATTTATCCCCATTGTACAGATGAGGAAACTGAGTCAGAGTGAGGTCAATAAACTTAAGATCACACACTTAGGAAGTAATGGAACCAGGATTTGAATCCAGGACTCAGGCACTTTGGGCTCGAATCCAAAGCTCCTTGCTCCTAATTACTGAGTTCCAAGGCCATTTGAGGCAGGTGGCTTTGGATGGTCTGGGCCCATGTTAACTCAGCGTTTTTCATGTGTTGCTCTCCTCCTCCACTCCTCAGCTTCATGAGGATACCTTCATTAATGTTTAAAGAAGTGTTGGCTCAGGGTCAGTTACAGACTTCCTTGAAACAAGGCTAATTAACTACTGAGAAAGACCATGGATGGTAAGGATTTTTGGATGGTAAGAATGAATGATAAGGATTTTTGACATTCAGCCTTGGCCCATTTGGACTATTAAAGGGAAATTTCCAGGAGACTAAAGTTGGCAGGATAGAGTTATCCACCCTGCTCTCTGGGTCTCGCCTCCTCAGTCAGGGTGGAAGTGGAAGCAGAAGCAGCACTAGCACCTTCTCTAAGACAGACTCTGAAGGGATGCTTGCTTGACTCCCAGGTCATAGGAGCCACTGTCCAGCCAGCATAATCTGGAGCCCATATCAAACTTCACTGGGTAATGCTGACACACAGCGAAATCCATACTCCATGTGAGGAAAATAGTATCCCCAGCCTCCCTCCCTTCCACTAGGTGACCATGAATGCCTGTTAAATGCCAGGCAGCATGTGGCTGGTCCACAGTGTATGTTCCAGGGGAACATCAGGTACAAATAAAATGATTATTACCCAAAGCACACTCTGTTACGGGTCATTGAGGGAATATTTAGGGGAGAATAGAGAATCCCATCTCCCACTCTGCCCATCTCCAAAGAGGGAGGGGCTTCCACTCTGTGGGGAAGCTTAGGGGACTCCCCTGGCTCCTCTCCTCCTCTCTCTCTCTCTCTCTTTTATTCTTCTCTGGGGAGGAGGAGAAATACCTGATTGGTTGGTCTGGGAAGAATGACTCCCAAGACAGTGTTTGCCTTTGGATTGATTCATCCTCCCTATAAATCATTCCTTATCCTCTAAATAGCCACATTTCCCCCATGCCCCGTCTCCCTATGAGTAAGAGAGTGGAAGCACCTGGACCTCACTGGTTTGCTGAGTCATCACTCTCCTGCCATTCCCTGAGCCGCGCACATTACATTGGAATGCCTTTTTGTTCTATTGGTCTGCCTTTTGTCTGCCAGTTCTTTCTCAGGGAGCCTTCATAGAGTGGAGAAGCTTGCCCACTGTGCCCACAGCTGATTCACGGTAAAGCTAATGGAGCTCACACTTCTGACACCTGTGTACAGACCCCACCAGAGCCCGGGAGTGGGCTTAGCCACAGTCCACGGAAGCATTCCTTACAGCTTGCAACATCAGTCAGATCTTTCCGCTGCAATCCCTAAGACCACTATTCCCTTTCCCACTGATGCCACTGCATATTGGGTGACACTAGGGAGGCCCGGGACATTTTTGGGATCTGGGTAAGGGCCAGCTGAGTTGCGTTTAGAGGGATTGTCTATGTAGGTCACATAGTTCTGAACTTGGGCAAGAAATAGAGGAAGGTTGTCCTCCCTTATCCCAGTCCCAGCAGCAAAGAACATAGGACCTAGAGTCTAAGGGGGACCCTCATCTTGTTCAGGGTTGGAGAGAGAGTGGGGAGAGAGGGGGATCTCTGAAGATGTGAGTCCTGAGTCCACATGAGGAGTGGCTAGGAGCCCCTGAACAGAGGGCTGGGGAGGGGACAGGGGTCTTCCAGACAGAATGCACATCATACTCAAAGGCCTGGTGGGGGCAGGGGCGTGGCCCATGTGAGGTCATGACAGCAGATGGGCCGGGTGCAGACTGAAGGGGAAGGGCGTCTGCTGGGCCGCAGGGGTGGGCTCAGCCCAGACCTCACTGGGTCTCATGGTCCATGGCAAAGATCCGGCTTTTCCTCCCAAGAGCCAGGGAACGCCACCCTCAGACAGATTTGTGTTGGAGAACATGTGATGAGCAGATGGCAGGGGCAGTGAGGGAATGTGTTCTCTTCCCCGGTCCACAAGGGCACGTAGTTTCAAGGGCAAGAACTTCCCAGCGCCATGCTCCCCCACCTCCATCAGGGGTCTTAAGGGTCTTTGTTTCCATTTTGACTGGCCCGGGAAAATAAAGTCAATCACTCCAGCGGAAGCTTAAAGGAACTCTTCATAGGTCAAAGGGCTTGGAGGAGGGAATTCCTCCCAGGTTAAAAGTCCCCTTCATACACACCCCTTCAGACTCCGTACTTGGGTCCCCTTCCACAATCTTCGTGGAATCTCTCTCTCATCTTTTTCTCTCTCTTCTTTCTCGTTCTCTGCCTAAATCAATCAGTTTCTGCAAAAACTCTTTGGGGTCCAATTTTTACTTGCTAGCACACCACGCCTAGCATGGTCCCCCCTCCCATTCTCAGGTGAGTGAGGGACCAAGAACAGCCCACCGAGGAGCAAGCTGAGCACTCCCCTGCACCCAGAAACCTGGCAACAGCAGGAGAGGCTTCTGTGGCAACAGCAAGATCAGCACTGTCCCGGCCACGGCTTCAGGAGGAATGCTCTGCAGAACATGCCCCCCGGCTGGCGGGGAGGATCCTGGCAGAGTGCACTGACCCTGAGAGAGTATCAGAAACCACGCCGGCTTCATCCTGGGGTCTCAAGTACAGGTCAGAGGATCCTATTTTCACCCAAGAGTTAATTCACAAATACATCTTAATACACCATCTCTCGAGGTCCCCTTCCAAATCCACGTCCATCCATCACCATAGCAGCCCACAGCCCATAATAAGAACTGGGGATGGTAACTAATGTGGAGGCAGGGCAGCTGAGAGGCATCCTGGGGCTGCACTGCTGATCCTCTTCTCTCTCGCCTGGCCCTGAGTGTCACTTTCGTGTGGCTCAGCCCTTCCGTCCTTCCAGCCCTCATCAGCTCCAGGGTGGGCCCCAGCTTGTGCCCAGGGACAGTGGCTAGCATGCAATGTCTTCCAAATAGCCGTATCTCATTTTAATCAGGGAACAATTCCTGCGTGGCGTCCCCATCACGCTCCCGCCAGCAGGTACAAGTGCTGGTTTGTGACACATGAAAGCACCCACAGCCTACACATCTTCATCATGGAGGCCTGTGCACCAGACTGTGCCCAGCACAACAGCCAGGCGGCAGGGGCAGGGGCAGGGTCAAACAGCAGAGTACACATTCCCTTGGGCTAAGGAAGCCACCCCAGAAACAAAATGCTCCATGCAACAGCCAGGGAGTCAGGCTGCAAGCTTGACAGCAGGGAGGCAGCTGTGAGCCTTCTTAGAGGAGAGGGGTCCTATGATCATTCCACAGACACTTGCCCAGCTCTGGGCTCAGGATAACCGACGAATTATGGTGCTGCTGGAGGGCCTTATTTACCATACACAGGTCACAAAATCAGGCTTCCCCAGCAGGAAGCCACTAGGGACAATGCCATGAGACAATATAAAAGTGATTTCTGGTGGGGCACAGTGGCTCACGCCTGTAATCTCAGCACTTTGGGAGGCCGAGGTGGGCGGATCACGAGGTCAGGAGTTCCAGAGCAGCCTGGCCAATATGGTGAAACCCTGTCTCTGCTAACACACACATGCACACACACACGCACGCACACACACACACACACACACACACACTGGCCGGGCAGTACATTCCTGTAGTCCCAGCTACTTGGGAAGCTGAGGCATGAGAATTGTTTGAACCTGGGAGGCGAAGGTTTCAGTGAGCCCAGATCACACCACTGCACTCCAGCCTGGGCGACAGAGCAAGACTCTATCTCAAAAAAAAAAAAAAAAGTGATTTCTATGCAAAGTAGGTTTTGAGAATATTGTATCAAGGAAGCCACAGCTTTGCACAACTCCATGGAATAATGAAATATTTTAGTGACCCACAAGAGGGAGCTGTCGATTAACTTTGGAGATCTCACCGGCTGAGAAGTTTTGGCCACTTCCGGGAAAGAGTCACTCGTACCTGACTGAGAGTCTGTTTCAGGTTTAAAAAATGAAAAGTCACAAATGGCCCAGAAAATCCCTGAGATAGGGGCTCCCAAAGCCAGAGGGCTCACTAGGTTCTGGGGATTTGTGGACACACCCATGGCTATGTCCTGGTTTTGCCCAGGGCAGGCACTCTTTGACTCAGCACAGGGGGTGATATCCCGGGGACACAGGACAGTGTCTGGAGACATTCTTGGTTGCCAGGACTGGTGGAGGTGCTGGCATCTGATGGGCAGAGGCCAGGGACACTGGAACATCCTGTGATGCGCTGGGCAGCTCCTTCCCCTAAAGAATGACCTTGCCCAAAATGTTCACAGTGCTCAGGGTGACAGTCCTGAACCTCAATGAAAGGAGCAATTTTCCCTCCAGGTGGGAAAGGCCTCCCCTGGCTGTGGTGTGAGGGGCTGGTCTGGAAGCTTCTCTAGGTGGGAAAGGCCTCTCCTGACTGTGGTGGGAAGGGCTAGTCTGGAAGCTTCTCTCCAGGTGGGAAAGGGCTCTCCTGGCTATGGTGATTTTCTGGAACCTTCTCTCCAGACAGGAAAGATCTCTCCTGGCTGTGGTGAGAGAGGCTGGTTTGGAAGCTTCTCCACGTGGGAAAGGCCTCTCCTGGCTGTTGTGTGAGAGGCTGGTCTGGAAGTTTCTCTCCAGGTAGGAAAGGTCTCTCCTGGCTGTGGTGAGAGGGGCTGGTTTGGAAGCTTCTATCCAGGCAGGAAAGTCCTCCCCTGGTTGCGGTGGACAAGGGGCTGGTCTGGAAATTTCTGGATGCTTTCACTATCCATCCAGAAAGTAGGTGCTCCCATGACCTCTCTCTGCAGGGTCAAGGGGGTCTGCTGTCTGGAAGAAGCCCTCCCCAGGTGAAGTGAAGGCTGGGGCCACGCCCTCTTCCTCATATTCTAAGTGTCCTCAGAAAATATATTTCTGCAGGTGTCATTATGTATCTGTGCATCCTCAGCCCCAGGTGGGCCAAGACAGGCCTTTGGGCTGGGGATTCCAGGGTCTACATTGTGGGTTCTTGGCCTGAGGCTTGGACACCTGATGAAGTCCCTCCTGGGAAAGAAAGATCCGTGAGGTGTCAAGCCAGGGCTCCAAGCCAAATGAAATGTGAACCCACAGAGACATGTTTCCAACAGTGGAATGCCTAATTTTCTCAGGTGATAGCACCCACATATGCTTTTTAGGGCACATTTCTATTCTTTCTCCATCCATCTCAAAGAGCCTTTGAAGCAGAGACACGGCTGTCCTCCCCCTCCTCATTGACTCTCAGCGCTGTGGGAGGAAAGGCAGAGTTCACACCCAGACCCAGGGCTTCAGGTCCCGTCCCTCTGACTGGTCTTAAATTATAAGTTGCCTCTTCTCTTGAGCATCTTCTTTGAGTTCTCACTGTCCCCAGCTTCACTTTCTTGTGGACTCAGCTTTTTGCTGCTTAAAACAGGGAAGAAAAGCAGCTGGTTAGTATGCAGGCTCCACGCCCATCCTGATGCCATAATTTACCCCATCGGATTAAATGAAAATGCAGCTAAGGGTGATCAAAACAATTTTCACTTTGACACGGGCTGCTAAGAAGCAAATAAAATCCCTGTTTCCCTCTCTTGGGTAGGAGGTCATCCAAGTGCCATGACCACGAGCAGCCCTGGTCAAAGAGGGGACTGCTCAGCACTTCAGGCTGAATGTCGACGGGACGTGGAGGTAGGCCAAGGCTCACCTGGCCAAATGAGACACAGACAGGCAGGGTAACAGCCCTGTGGCACCCCTGGTGTCGTCATGGCTTGCTGCCCACAAATTGCGTTCATATCTGTCATTTCTGGAACCTTCACATTTAATGCCTCTGAGGGGATGGATTCTCCCGCCCAGACTTTTGGCATCCAGCAGCTGAGTGTAAAACCCAGCCACAGGCAATAGGTCTGGGGCCCAGTCATACCTAAGCGAGCCTGAGGTGTGGTCCCCAGAGGCAAGATCCTCGTCATTGGGCACCCCCAGATCCTCTCTTTCCCGGGGTGGGGGTTTCTTCCTTTTAGTCCTTAGGGGCTTCTCTGTAGAGGACAGATGAATCCACACATGGCTCTGTGACTTCAGGCAAGTGACAACTTCTTGCAGCCTCACGCCCACCCAGCCTGACATTTTTGACCTTGCTGTGTGAACCAAGTGTGTGCTTGGTACCTTATGCTATTACAGCTGCTCCACTGATGAGGAAACTGAGGCCCAGGAAGGTGACGTGCCCTCCCAAGCCTGCACTGCCTGTAAGTGGCAGAGCTGGGACTTGTGTTCCGGTCTGCTCGGCTCCCACTGGGTTTCCATTCTGCCCAGCTGACTGGAAGACTTAATGAAGTTACAAGCCACTGAAAACCCAGCACCAGTATGATAGCTTTCGCCTTAAGAGATCTCTGTGTTTTCACACCACCTTCTGAGTCACTCTCCCATTACCAGGTTAAAACACCCTGTGATGTCACTGAAGTTGTCACTGGCAGGGGTGGGAGGAGGGCTTATTATCCCCACTGTACAGATGGAAAAATGGAGTCAGTGAGGAGACACAGCCAGTGCATAGCAGACCCAGGAACTGGAATTATTAAATGACAGAGGGCAAGCGGGCCTGTGGGGTGGCCTAGCCAAGCCTGCTCATTTACAGACAAGGTCACAAAAGCCCAGAGAGGCTAGGCACAATGCCTAAGGCCACACAGCTAGTTAGCGGCCAATGTGGAACTAGAACCCGTATCTCTCAGCCCAGAGTGCTTCCCGCTGCAGCACAAGCATCTGTGACTCACCCAGTGGCCCATGCTTAGCGGGGAACAGTTTGCTTTCAGCGAGGGGCACTCGGGCCAAGGCTGCCAGCTCAGTGATGAAGTTCTGTTCCACTTCCTGAAACGCAAGCAGAGAGGAGCATTCAACCGGGCTTCCCTCCGCCTTCCTGACTTCTCTACATCTCTCTCCACGTGAGTCTGCCACTTAAGCCTGGCCACCAGGGACCACGTCCCTGTCCTGTTGTGGAGGAGAATTTTCTAAGATGCATCCCAGGGAGGAGAGGAGCAGGAGGAGGCACCCGAGAGAGAAGGAGCTGACATCTGCCAGCTCCTGCACGTAACTGCGTGTCCTCACTCACAGCAGCCGTGGGTCTCCAGCTGGCACAGTGCACTGAGGTCAGAGGGGCTCCGTGACCTGCCCGGAGCAGGTGCAGCAGAATAGGACGGGACCCGCTTCTGCCCGACTCTGCAGACTGGCTCTTAACTGCCAACACCGTGGCATAACCAGACACACCAGAATTCCCTGATGCATGAACTGTGAGACCCTGGATAGCAGCTTAACCTGTGCATGCCTTGATGTGTCCACCTGTCGCAGGGATAGCAGCAGTAACCTCCTTGTGGGAAAGTGCATGCAAAGCTCTCGGCTCATGACTGTCTACCGCAGAGTCTGTAAGTGCCCAGCAGCCAGCACCGCTGTATCTCATGGTTGTCACCCTGCGATTGCCATCCTCAATGGAGGAAACTGCAGGGGCCAGCGCTCTGCTGGACGCTTCCATTCTGGAAGATTTGATTTTTTTAAAGGCAGCCGCTTTGCTTAGCCACAGTTATAGTCTCACCTCACATCCACTGTATAATCTCACACAAACGGGACTGTGTGTGATGAAATATGCACTTTGTATCATGAGAGCTGAGCTTCCTGTTTGCTGTAAATAAAGGGTAAATTTTAGCTCCCACCAACACTGCCTGAGTGACTACGGAAGTCACCATTATACCACCAGCCTCCTGGTGGCCATGCACCTGCAGGGGGTGCCCAGTTCTCTGTCAGGTCTGTAGATGAGGGCTGACCAGCTGCTCAGGGCCTGGCCCTGCTTAGGGTGCTACAGCCGCTGGAGGGATCCACACAGGCCACCTGCCCTCCAGGGGCTCGGGGTCCTAGGGTGAGGCCGATGCATCCTCAGCAGGGGAGACTCGGCGGGTCAACAATGCCACAGGCGGGGAGGCACAGGGACCAGGGTGTCCCCTCACCACAGTCCCATGGCTGACCTGTGGTCACGGGCTGGCATTTGCTATTTCTGCTCCTCTTTAAACCACTGCCTTTTGAAGGCCCAGTTCTGTAACTCGTACCTGCAGCTGGGTCTCCAGCTGGGCTTCCAGAAGGTCCATGACTCCTGCCTGCTGCTGCCAGGCATGCAGACGCATCTGCTGGTGCACAGGGAACTGGGCCAGGAACCTCTTCTGCTGGGACAGCATCCTGGGGGAAGAAAAGCAGGCAGGGAGGGAGGGAGGGAGGCAGGCAGGGAGGGAGGGAGGGAGGAAGGGAGGCAGGGAGGGAGGAGGGAAGGAGGGAAGGAGGGAGGGAGGGAAGGAGGGAAAGAGGGAGGGAGGGAGGGAGGGAAGGAGGGAAGGAGGGAGGGAGGGAGGCAGACAGGCAGGAAGGGAGGGAGGGAGGGAGGGAGGAAGTCAGTGCCACTGGGCTGCAGACTGACTAGGGTCCCAGTGCAAATCTTTCTGAAGGGCTGCTGCGTGGAGGCATGTAGTGGCCACTAGATGTCATTGATCCCTGGGAACCCCAAGAGGGGCCTGGCCATTGGGGGTGCCATTCACAGCAGCCCCAGCTCCAGACCCTGGCTTTGGCACTGACAAGCATTGGCAGGGAAACCAGGGGCCACTGAGGGCAGTTTGTCAGTGGCCTGCAGGAGGGTTTTGTTGGCAGTAGCCTGGGCTGCATGGATAGCACCAGGAAGCAGAAACACTTCTGGGTGGAAGGGATTGAGTGCTCAGAAGCCCCACCTTTGGCTAGGGAAGTCCTAAAGCCTGGGTGCTGGCCTGACAGTCCTGTGTACCAGAGAGGTAACTCATGGTGCTTTTTCCTGGCCCCACCCATGGATGCCACAAATCAATCAACATGCACTTCTCTGCTCAGAGACCTGTAAAAGCCCCAGGCTCAGCCAGAGCATGAGAGATGACAAGATGACCAGCTGCAGAGAGGAGCTACCCTCTCTGCTGATAGCTGGAGAATGCTGAGATGACCTGCAGCAGACAGAAGCCTCCCACTCCAGGGATGATGTGCCTGCAGAGAGGAGCGACCCACCCCAGGGCCTCCTCTCTGCCAAGACCTGTTGGACCAATGAGACGCGTACCAGCAGAGAAATGCCACCAACCCCAGGGACTCCTGTTATCTGCTGAGGGCTGAACTCTTGTTGGGCCACCCTGTCTTCAGAAAGGAGATGCCCACAGCAGCCCTCTGAGATGCTCTACTGCTCAATAAAGCTCCTCTTCATTTCGCTCACCCTCTGCTTGTCTCCATGCCTCATTCTTCCTTGTTGCAGGACAAGAACTCGGGGCCCAGCAAATGGCAAGGCTAGAGGAGCTGTAACACAATCAGGGCTGAAACATGCCCCTTTCTCACCTCAGTGTGGATGAAGAGAGGGAGAGAAGAGCTGCTGTCCTTTGGGGAGCCCAGACCTGGGAACTCCCAGAGCCAGGGCTGTTACTCCCTCTTTCAGACCCTGGCAGTTTCCAGCATCTCAGAGCGTCCAGACACCACTTCATTCCACAGTGCCAGCAGGGGAAGCTGCTTGCAGTGTGCCTGCTCCAGCCACAGCCTCACAGAGAGTCAGTACCTGTGCTGGCACTTGCAGTTGCCTGCCCCACTGCAGCAGCCAGCATGCATGCCTGACTGTGCTGTGGCCACACCCCACACTCACTAACTCACACATCTCTCCCTGCTCTGTACCTGGCTCACCCTTGGCAGGCATGGGATTCAGGCCAGTAGTGTGAACTGAGTGTAGCCTGCCAGGCTAAATGGGCAGACAACCCAAGTGGGCCCAAGCAAAAGCTCCCCACAGGCAGGCTGCCTCTCCATCGAAGGGGACGCCCTTTACAACGCAGGAGTTTACGGAGTCCTGCTCACACACTTTCCGTGTGATCTTCGGAGGAGCTTCCCAGCACCAGCAGGACAGTGTAGAAAAGCCAGTGGAAGAAGCCCAGAGAGGTGGGGCCTCCCTGAGTGCACACATCTGTGACGTGGCTGAGCAGAAGGTGGCATCTTCTCGTGAGAAAAACCATCTTATTCCCGCGGAGGAGCATTCTCTTGAAAGGACCGGAGACCTACCGGCTTCCCATCCCTGATTTTAAATCTCAGAACTGCCCCAGCCCCTCCCTTGTAAAATGAGAAGCTTGCTGGGATGCAGCCTCTGGGAAATCCCTAATACGGCAGGCAGCCCTGTTACAGAGCTGCAGAGCCTACCCCCTCTCCGGGTGCCCTCAGCTCCTCAGCAAACAGCAACATCCAGATCCAGCTGCCCCGTTTCCACTATTGCCCCCTGCTCACCTCCTTCCCATCTTTTAGGACAGATTTTCCGCATGGGGTCAAATTTCTAGATCTGAAGGCAGAGCCACCTTCAGCATGGTTGGCAGCTGTGCATGTGGTGTGCCCGAGGCACAGAAGTACCAGCCTGCTTCTACTTCATGCTCTTCTGTCTGCCAGTAACACCCTTCTTCTTTTTCGTCTTTGTCCAGAAAATTCCTATGCATCCTACAAGACCCCATCATCCATCCCTCCAGCCCTCACTTTCTCCCCCCATCCACTCATTCATCTATTAATCTCTGGCCTTTTCGTTCAAAAGAATGAACTCATGTCTTTGGCAGCAACGTGGATGGAACTGGAGGCCATTTTCTTAAGTGAAACAACTCAGAAACAGAAAGACCTCATGTTCTCACTTACAACTGTGCACACGGACACAGCAAGTGGAATGACAGGCTGGGTGCAGTGGCTTATGCCTGTAATCCTAGCATTTTGGGAGGCTAAAGCATGTAGATCACGAACACCTGAGGTCAGGAGTTTGAGACCAGCCTGGCCAACATGGAGAAACTCTACCTCTATAAAAATACAAAAAAATTAGCCGGACATGGTGGTGTGTGCCTGTAATCCCACCTGCTCAGGAGACTGAGGCAGGAGAATCACTTGAGCCTGGGAGGCGGAGGTTGCGGTGAGCCGGGATCATGCCACTGCACTCCAGCCTGGGCAACAGAGTGGAGACTCCGTCTCAGAAAAAAATTGAAAACAAAAAAAAGAGAGAGCGGAAGGATGGACAACAGAGACTCAGAAGGGCAGTGGGATGATGGGAGGGGAGTGGATGATGAGAATTATTTAATGGGTAAAACAAATACTATTTGGGTGATGGGTACACTAAGAGCTCTGCCTTCACCATTATTCAGTATAGCTCTGTAATAAAATTATACTTGCGCTCTTTCAGAAGGAAAAAGAAACTGCCTCTATGAATTCGAGGCGGTGGGGGAGGGAGGGAAGGGCGTCAACAGCCACAGACAAGCTGTGAGTCACAGATGGGGTCATGCCCCCTGTCCTCCACCGCTCTGCTTCCTTTTCCTCCTTCATAAAGCACGCTGGCCCACGCAGCTGCTGGGGCTCCTTTTCTTCGATCGCCTGGGTCAAAGTGAAGCCCTTGGACCACATCTATCAGAACCCTTAGTGGGGAGGGGTGTGGCTGAAAATCAGATTCTTGGGCTCCTCTCCTACCTTCTGAGCCCACGTTTCCGGGCTGTGCTCCCAGAACCTACAAGTTTAGCAGGAAAGCTGAGGGATGCTTCTGCGCCCCACATCTGAGGACTGCGGGACCCTAGTTCACTGGGAGCCTGGAAAGTCAGGGCAAGTTCAGTCTGTGCAACCCTGCAGCAGGGCATTCCTGACAGCTATTAGTGAGTGGCCTCCTAATAACAGCCCGGTCGGCTGACCCCTTCACTCAGGCCTTGTGAGGAGTGAAGAAGCCAGGAGAGCCAAGCCCGCTTGCTGACCTCAAGCACTTCGGGATAGGACATCTGCATGGCCTGAGCTGCTACATGTGCACTTACTGTGATGGTCACAGTCCCAGGAAGCAGCCACCTCTTCCTCACCTCCTTGCCCTCTCACTGTGCTTCTGCGGGTCACCTCCCATGTACACAACCTGCCCCCAAATCCTCGTCAAGGTCTGCTTCTGAGAACGCCCAAAGAACGAGAGGGGAGGTGCATGTCCGGGCTGTGATTGCCACTTAAATCTGGGAACGAAGCCACCACCACACTTTGACCTGCTCACTCATCTGTGCCAGGTGCCATTCCAGGCACTGCATGGAGGGCAGAGACCAGGACAGAGGCACCGGGTGAGGGAGGCTGATGGTGCCCAAGTCCATGGGCCATGCATGCAGTGGAACCCGCCGACAGCGCCACAGAGAGACACGCCACGTGAAGGGGTAGAGAACGCCCCTACGTGGGACCTCAGTTGGGGCCTCACCTCTGGTGGACCGCCTGGGAGGCCTCGTGAGCGTCACCTGCTGTCCTGCCGCCAGACGAAGGGTCGCCGAGCTCCTGCTTTTTCCGAAGCTTGTAATTTTCCATTCTCTCACCTAGATCATTTAACACAGGACAATCAAGGGGTCTCTTTGGAGGATCAACTGTGCTAGGTCTGGGGCAGGTTCTGGGGGGCAGGGTGAGCAGGACACACCAGCTCTCAAAGAGTGTGCCGTTGCACCAGCACAGGGACAGGGCGCTGTGTGCATGAATGACATGGCTTTCATAGTGGGCCAGGCGCTGCAGAAGGAAGCGATCTGTGGTGCGTCCCTCCACCTGCTCCATCTCCAGCTTTCTCATATCAGGAGAAAAGGGAGGTCGAATAAGAAAAAGTCAACCCTGAGCGGGCACCACAAAAAGCTCAAAAAGCCACACCAGATAGGAAAAGCGATTGGCCAGGCAGAGTCAGGGCAGTGCCGAAGCCGGTGTTTCCAAGGAGCTGGGAGGTCTGGGCTCTGAAGTCACGCCCCCCGTTTCTTGGAGCTCCTCCTTGTTTGCAGGTTAAGCTGCTCAGGAAACTCTTGACTTTTAAAAGCTTTAAAAGTAAAGTGAGGCTGGGCGACCTAGCTCACGTGTGTAATCCCAGCAGCTCGGGAGGCTGAGATGGGTGAATCACCTGAGGTCAGGAGTTTGAAACCAGCCTGGCCAACATGGTGAAACGCTGTCTCTACTAAAAATACAAAAATCAGGCAGGCCTGGTGACCCACATCTGTAATCCCAGCTACTGGGGAGGCTGAAGCTCTGGATTCAGGGGAGGGTGTTAGAAGAAGACCATTTAAGAAACTGGCTTCCAATCGTCATTATCCGTAGGTTACTGGAACTGGGGATATTGTCCTTTCCATCACCCCAGAGTGGCCTTTACAAGAGCCCATGGGGGAACATTCTCAAGGTCTCAAACACCCCCTGGGCCACTGGGCTCATGGTCACTGTGGTGGCTTTAACTAAGTAGGTCTCCATCTCTTTGACCACCAGGAAGCTCACAGACAAAATCACATTTCACGTCCAAGTAGGATTTGCGGGCAGATTTCCTCGATCAGGGATCCCCAACCCCTGGACCACAGGCTGGTACTGGTCCCTGGCTGTCAGGAACCCAGCCACACAGCAGAACGTGAGCGGCACGTGAGTGAGCGGCGCTTCATCTGTACTTACAGCCGCTCCCCACCGCACACATCACCGCCTGAGCTCTGCCTCCTGTCACATCAGCCGCGGCATTGGCGTCTCATAGGAGCGTGAACCCTACTGCAAACTGCACATGTGAAGGATCTAGGGTGAGTTCCCCTTATGAGAATCTAATGCCTGGTGATCTGTCACTGTCTCTCATCACCCCCAGATGGGACTGCCTAGTTGCAGGAAAACAAGCTCAGGGCTCCCACTGATTCTACATGATGGTGAGTTGCATAATTATTTCATCGTATATTACAATGGAATAATAATAGAAATAAAGTGTATAGTAAATGTAATGGGGACTGCTGTCCCAGATAAGCCTCGTCCTGACTCTACCTCAGGGTCCTATCCTCGTCCTGGGTGATCGACTTAAAACACTCGCACTGCAATGGATGTGTCCTTACGCTTGTGTTTCTTTAAGGGCCTTTTGAAAAAGGTTTTTGAGACAAAGAAGGGATAAATAACTACATTAAAACACTGAAAGAATTAAATGCCCAAACATAAAATTCACAACATCTGACATCCCATTCCACTTCGAACTAAAAGCACATGTTGCCAGCATCTTCTGTGTCTTCCCTGAGGGGTCCCGTACCCTGCAGTGCCTTCAGGTGCTGCAGTCTGCTCTCCTCGTGGTCCTCCATGATCCTCCCAATTTGCTGGTAATACGCCTGCACCAGGCGGCTGACACCAGCACTGGTCACGTAGACGCTCTCCACTGCTGCCTCCATCAGCGTCCTCTGAGGGGAGAAAGGAAGGACGGGGACAGCAGAGAAGTCACACATGGGAGCCACCCACGGCCCATCCAGTCCCTGTCTCCCTGTGCTCTGGTTCCATTCTTCTACCTACTCACCAACCTGGACTGGTCAGGAAGCAGCCAGTGAGTGCATGGCTGGTTTAAACTAGTCATGGTAATCCTATCTTCCTAGGCCAGGGATGTCTAGGCCTGACTGTTTCATCCAGTTCTGGCCAAGGAAATGTGATGTTAGGGAAAGTTTGCTAAGAGACCTTCCCTTTTTTTTTTTTTTTTTTTTTCTTTTTGTTTGTTTGTTTGAGACGGAGTCTCACTCTATTATCCAGGCTGGAGTGCAGTGGTGCAATCTCAGCTCACTGCAACCTCCACCTCCCAGGTTCAAGTGATTCTCCTGCCTCAGCCTCCCGAGTAGCTGGGATTACAGGAGCGCACCACCAGGCCTGGCTGATTCTTTGTATTTTTTGCAGAGATGGGGGTTTTGCCATGTTGACCAGGCAGGTCTCAAACTCCTGACCTCAGGTGATCTGCCCACCTCAGCCTCCCAAAGTGCTGGGATTACAGGCGTGAGCCACTGTGCATGGCTGAGGCCTTCCCTTTCTAAACATTAAGGCGGAAGCTGAGCAGGTGAAAGACTGTTGCTTCCTCTGCCTGCCTGGAATGCAGGCCTGATGTCTTGGCGTGACAGTGGCCATTTTAAGACTATGAAGCAATAAATTAACAGTAAGAATGCAGGGTCAGAAAGAAAGAGCCTTGTCCTTGGTCACATCACAAAGCCACTGTGGCAGCCTGGGGTCACACACCACCACATTTCTTGGGGTAGGGGGTGAGTAACTGCTATTTGTTTTGAGTCATGTTACTTGCAGCTACATTTCTGCACGATGCATCTGAGACCAAAGCAGAAAAGATAGGAGATGCTGAGACATCCCATCATTGGGGATGTGTTGGCTGTGCACCGAGAAAGTTATCAACCTTTTCTCCATAAGAGGATGGGCAGAGGCTGGCACGGTGGCTCAAGCCTATAATCCCAGCACTTTGGGAGACCAAGGTGGGAGGATCACAAGGTCAGGAGTTCGAGACCAGCGTGACCAACATGGTGAAACCCTGTCTCTACTAAAAATAAAAAGTTGGCTGAGTATGGTGGTGCATGCCTATAATCTCAGCTACTCAGGAGGCTGAGGCAGGAGAATCACTTGAACCCGGGAGGCAGAGGTTGCAGTGAGCTGAGATCGAGCCACTGCCCTCTAGCCTGGGTGACAGAGCAAGACTCTGTCTCAAAAAAAAAGAAGATGGGCAAAGGCCAGAAAAGTTCATCCCCATTGTAACAAATATTTATTGGATGGTCCTATGCTTTGGGTAAGAAAAAACACCCACCTACTCTCAGTGTAGCATCTGAGAAAGGTACCTGAGCACAGGGGTGGAGTGCAGGCTGCAGAGGTGAGGAGACTTCATGGCCCGGGTGGCAGCGCAGGTCTGAGCTGGTCTTCTAACTCCCAAGCCCCTGCTCATCCCTTACTGCCAATGCTTCTTTCCTCCTCCTCTGCCCCATCTCCAAAGGGGCTCCCACTCCATCCCTCCAAAGACGTGGGCTTCAGCCTTGCCCTTCCTATCGGGAGCTCCCATCCTCTTTTCATGAAGGTCAGCAAACCCACCCACATCTTCACACCCTGTATGCTCCTGCCACAGAAGAGCGGCGAGCACCCCACTCTGCACCCACCCCTCCTCCCTTCCCCAGGCCTCCACCCCTGACCACCCCTTCTCTCCTCCTCTCAGTTATTTTCTGGCCAGTCTCCTGTACCCATCAGCACACACATTTGTGCTAGCGTTCCAGGAAGCCCCTGAATAGAGGTTGAATAAATGACCATCCTTCTAGAAACTAAGCTCAGTGTTCTTTTTTGTAAGCGTGAAGTTGTGGGGGCACTCATTTTCAATCTCGACTCAAAATCCTTCTGGAAAGCTGAGGACAACATCTGACACTCATTTCTTACTCCATTTCCATGCAGTGAGCATTTACTATTAGGTAACATGCGGACAGTTTTAGGGATGGGGTGACATTCCCAATATCACCAGCCAGGCACAGCCCTAATGTTTGGATAATCTGAGGCAGAGGTGAGATATTTAGAATAAGACGGGGTGTTGCAGAAATGTGGGCCCAACCTCTTTGTTGCACAGACACACAAAGTGACTTGTTTTACCGAGATGAAAGGAGCCCCTTGGAAGACGCCTGGAAGTGCTCCTGCACTTCCTGATACCAGGGCTGCCTGCTGGGCACAGGGCTGTCCCCTGCTGTTGTCCCCCGGGTGCAGACACCCTTTCTGCAGTGACCTGCAGTGAGCGAGGTGCTATAAGGGGTGGCTCACCTCTCCTTACAGCTCGTAAGGGGAGCACCAGGCAGATGCAGTGTGCATGCTGGTCAGGCTCCGGCAGCCCAGGGGTGGCCCCTCACTAGGCTGGAGGCTGGAAATGTATTCTCTGCCCAATCATAGGCCTCTTTTGTCCCCAGTGGGAAGAAAAGTGATCCTGACCGTGCCAGGGTAGTGGAGAGAATCCAACAAGACAAGGTGGGAAAAAGCACTTCGACTTCAGTGCAGTGCTAATGTGACTTCTTACTGTTCCCATTTTTATTGCTATTGTTTTTTATTCTTGTGAATATAAGGAGTTAAACCAGTCTACTTAAGCCAAATTGATTTTTTGTGGCATCATTCAGCCATCAGGGTGAACTCCAGAAAGCTCCAGTGTCTCAGCAGAGACAGCCAGGGGCAGGGAAAGCACACGTCTCTCTCTTTCTGGGAGACGGCCGACTTTGGCTCAGATCCTGGTTCTGCCACTGACCGACAGTGTGGCTCTGGTGCCACCACATCGCACTCAGGGCTGCTGTAAGGACAGAGCCAGTTCGCAGGATGACGCAGCACAGGGCCCGCGGCAGGAGGAGAACCAGGGACCTCCCCATTCTGTGAGGGAGAAGACCCATCTTACAGGTGAGAAAAACAAGGCTCAGAGAAGTCAGGTAAAGTCGACAAGGCCACAGGCTCCATGAAGGGTGTGGCAAGGAGCAGACCCAGGCATGGACCCTACCCTGATCCTTCTTGCCCTTGGTGTTCCCAGGGTCAGGACATACCTTGAAGTCATCCCTGTCCTTGGCCCGGCTCTTGGTGGCCGCATTCCGTGCGTGCACCAGCAGCGCCTGCCCGATGGCACACTCCACATGCTGCTGCAGAAGCTGCCCCACCTCCTGGGCCTCGGCCAGGAGCCGCTGCTGGAGCTGCAGCCGCGTCTGCTGAGCCTCCTCGTCCAGCTGGCTGGCCTCCTCCAGCACACGCGCCTCCTGGGAGGGAAAGCACTGGGAGCGAGGGCCAAGTGCTCCCTTCACAGAGAAGCTCTGGCCAGCACTGGGATATGGGGTTGGTCCTATCCATGGCTCAGAGGTTGGAAAAGAGATGGAAAGGGCAGAAAGAGGTGGCCTCTCTAGGCTTGCCAAAGTCAATGGATGGGGTTAGGTGTCTGTTGAAGATTCCACTCCCCAGAGAAAGGGCGTTTATTGAGCACCATCTCTGTGCCCAGTACCATCTATGGCCCCTCACAAGATGGTGGGGGGGCCTTGCTTGCCCTTCCAGAACATCCTGAGACCTGAACGCTAGCACTGAGGAAGACACAAGGGCTTGGAGAATTTAAGTAACTTTCTAAAGTCACACAGCAGAGCCAGGTTTTGAAGCCAGATCTGAGTCTCTTAGGAGACCACAAGAGACGCAGGGCACACAGGGCCCCGGGGGCTGCCGTAATTTGTAGAAACAAGATAAAGAAGTGAGCGGGACTGGAGCGAGGTCAGTGAGTCCTGCCTGCCCCTCAGAGCTCTCCTGGACAGAGGTAAAGAGACTGTGGACTTGGGCCTCATGTGTGGGTCAAATAGCAGCAGCTGCTCCCAGAGCTTGGCGGCTTCATGCCAGAGGCCTGCAGTCAGCCTACTTGGGTGTAAATCCCAGCTCTGCAACTTACCTATTCTTTCTTTCATCTGCTATCACACTTCAAAGAGATCACAGAGGCCTTCTCTCCCATGCCCCCAAAGACAACTGCACCTGTCTCCCTCTGATTCCAGATATGCTTTTTTTCCAGTAGAATTCTCTTTATATTAGGGACACTAGAACGTTTTGGCACCTGCTTGGCCCTGTGGGGCCTCCATTGTCTCCACTTGTTATGGGCTAAATTGTGCCCCTTCAAAATGGGTATGTTGAAGCCCTGAGCCCAGGTACCTCAGCATGGGAGGTCAGTAAGTGGATAGTGCCTTCGAAGGGGTGATTAAAGTCAAGAGGTCATTAGCATGGGCCCCGATTCAGTATGCCTGGTGTCCTTATAAGAAGAGATTGGACACCCACAGAGGAAGGACCCGGAGGACACAGGTTGAAGACGGCCATCTACAAGCCAAGGAGAGGGATCTCAGAATCAAAGCAGCCCACACCCGGATCTCAGAACTCGGGCCTCCAGGATGGTGAGCAGGGAATGTGTGCTGTGTGAGCCACACGGTCTGTGGAACCTCGCTACGACAGCCTCAGCGAATGAATACCCTGCCCTGCAGTACCGGGGGTGGTAGGATTTGGGTTCTGGCAAACCTCCACTTCAGAAGCTGGGGGCTGCTGCAGGGGCAGCACCTGTCTGAAATGGGTGGTCCTACCAGGGCCCTGAGTAGCTGCCACTGATGCTCGTCCAGGAACTGGGAGGACCCCTGCTCCAGCGCACGCTGCTCCCGTAGCTCCTGCAGGAGGCGCTTCTTCCCCGAGAGCCGCATCTGCGTCAGGGTGGCCAGGGCACTGCCGCGGAGCGCCAGCCTCCGGAGGGCCGAGCGCAGAAGCAGGTCATGGCCCTGCAGGACACACCGCGTGGACCTGAGAAAAGCAGGTAGGGGTGGGGTCAATGCTCTTGGCTTCACGGAGCCAGTGAGAAGCTCCCCCCACAAACAGCCAGAGCCCACAGGGAGCCCCTCCAAAAGGAAGCAGAGTGGAATCACCACCCTCTGCTGCCATCCTCTTAGGCATGGGTGCCTCCTGGGCACCCCACCGCTATCTACTTGTCTATTAATCTTTTTAACCTCATCACAACCTGCCCGGCTGTCCAATCCATGTGTATGGCAGCCTAGGGTATGCAGCCACTCAAATTAATGATGTAACTCAAAATCAGCACATCCAAAGCAGAAATCTTGAGCTATTTTTGAGTTCCTATTTCAGTGATGCATGTAAAAACTTCAGTCTTCCAGAGAGGTTCATTTGGCTGTATAACTTGAGGCATCTGCTGAGAGGCTGAGAGGTGAACAGAGGTCTGAGAGTCAGCTACCAAGGAGAGGCTGGCAAACACTCCAGGCTTTTTGGTGGGTGCCTCATGCTAGGAAAAAAGTCCCTCCCCACAAAGATCTAATTCAGAATCAGCTAAATTCCAACATGGGTGGAGTGAATCTACCACTCTCTGCAATTCCCACTAGAAGTAACACAAATCCTCTCTGAAAGAAGATCCTATCATTTGAAGCCTTGAATTAGCTCTACAGTCCTTCACGCTTAGTGGTCATCATCCAATAAAAATAACCAGACATGCAAATAGAAGAGGATTAACTGAAAATAAAGAGAAAACCAACAGCAGAAACATGCCCTCAGATATCAGAAAGCAGAATAGTCAGACAATGACCTTTACACTAATTATTATTAATATGTTCCAGAAACTAAATAAGACGAAGAATTTCAGCAGATAACTGGAAAACTATACAAGAAATCAAATGGACATCCTAGAACTGAAAACACAATAACTGACATGAACAACTCAAGATATGAGTTTGGTACCTGATAAAATATGGCTGAAGAGAGAGTGGCTGGGAGGTACCTCAAAGGAAAATATCCATGCTGAACCACAGAGAAGAAAAGAATAAAATATACAGAGTAGCATGTAAGAGACATATGGGGTAAGGTGGAAAAGCATCATAACTTCTGTCACTGGAGTCCCAGAAAGAGAGGAGGGAGAAGGCCGGGAGCGGTGGCTCAAGCCTGTAATTCCAGCACTTTGGGAGGCTGAGGCGGGTGGATCACGAGGTCAAGAGATCGAGACCATCCTGGTCAACTTGGTGAAACCCCGTCTCTACTAAAAATACAAAAAAATTAGCTGGGCATGATGGCTCGTGCCTGTAATCCTAGCTACTCAGGAGGCTGAGGCAGGAGAATTGCCTGAACCCAGGAGGCGGAGGTTTCGGTGAGCCGAGATTGCGCCATTGCACTCCAGCCTGGGTAACAAGAGCGAAACTCTGTCTCAAAAAAAAAAAAAAAAAAAAAAAAAGAGAGGAGGGAGAGAATGGGCAGGGGAAGATCTAAAGAGAAAACAGCTGAGAATTTCCATAAACTGATACGAAAACCCAAATACATATCAGCATGAGGATTTACATTAAACATAAATGGACTAAACATTAATACAATTAAAAGACACATGTTTTCAGGCTAGACAAACCCCCCAATCACTCTCTGTTGTCTTCAGTATGGCTCACCAGGTCTCCCTGGTCCAAGACTACTTATGCTTCCATTATCTTCTATTTCTTTTTGAGATGGAGTCTCATTAGGTAGCCCATGCTAGAGTGCAATGGCGCGATCTCAGCTCACTGCAACCTCTGCTACTGGGGCTCAAGCGATTCTCAGCCTCAGTCTCCCAAGTAGCTGGGACCGCAGGTGCTCACTACCACACCCAGCTAATTTTTTGTATTTTAGTAGAGACGGGGTTTCACCATGTTGCCCAGGATGGTCTCGAACTCCTGAGCTCAAGCAATCTGCCTACCTCAGCCTCTCAAAGTGCTGGGATTACAGGCGCAAGCCAGCACACCTGGCCACCAGGCTCTTCTGATGTCTCCCCCGTATTATCCAGTTTCATAGCTAGACACCTACTTCTTGATGGTATACACAATTTGCTTTCTGGAAAGGGCTGGACAACTAAAAAAAATAGTAATATCAATACTCAAAGGAAAAGAAATTGAAAATAAATTCTACCAATAAGACACATGCACTTATATGTTCACTGCAGCATTATTTACGAAAGCAAAGACAAGAAATCAATCTAGGTGGAGTGGATAAAGAAAATGTGGTACATATACACCATGGAATACTATGCAGTCATAAAAAGAATGGAATCATGTTATTTGCAGTAACATGGATGCAGCCAGAGGCCATCATCCTAAGGAAGCTAATGCAGACACAAAAAAACAAACACTGCATGTTCTCACAGGTGGGAGCGAAACATGAGGCACATATAGATGTAAGGATGGGAACAACAGACACTGGGGACCACAAGAGGGGGCAAGGTTCAGAAACGACCTATGGGTGCTGTGCCCACTACCTGGTGAGGGGAGCTGCACCCCAATCTTCAGCATCACGCAATACAGCTTTGTAACAAGCCTGCACCTATGCCCTCTGAATCTAAAATAAAAAATTGAAAAATAAAACTAAAAAATAGCTATATCCAAAATTTTTTTCTCAGCTGGGCGTGGTGGCTTGCACCTGTAAACCCAGCTACTTGAGAGGCTGAAGCAGGAGAGTCGCTTGAACCCTGGAAGCAGAGGGAGGTTGCAGTGAGCCAAGATTGTGCCACTGCACTCCTGTTCAGGTGACAGAGCAAGACTCTAGCTCAAAAAAAAAAAATACATGTGTGTGTGTGTGTGTGTGTGTGTGTGTGTGTATTTTTTATATGAAAGAAGGAAAAATTACTTTCTAGCAAATTGAAAAGACCATATTGCACTAATAGTTATAGCAAAAATGTGAAAAATGAATATAAAAACTGATAATAAATTGGGGAGTGGTTGCAATTGGGCACAAGAGATCTTTTTACAATTGTGATCACATAGCAATTTTGGGGGTAACAGAAATGTTCTAAATTTGGATTGCAGTGATAGGGGTAGAACTCAGTAAATTTACTAAAAATCATTGAATTATACTCATAAAACAAATGTATGTAAACTATACCTGAAAAAAGCTGTTTAAAAAAGTTCCTATGACAGACGAGTCTATGAAGTAGGCATCATTAGCCCATTTTATAGATGAGGAAATCAAGGCTAAGAAATGTTAAGTCATCTACATCCAAAGGAAGGCGAGGGGCAGTCAGTGTACCCACTGTTCAGATGAGGACGCTGAGGCTGGACAAAGCATCACACAGGACACAAGCCCCAGGCCTTCAGAGAGCTGTACTCACTCTTCAGTGAGGCCGCCCAGTCGGCCCAAGACGCCTTGGATGGTGCTCTCGTGATCCTCCCGCAGCTGCGTGAGCAGCACGCTGGACAGCGCACACTCCTCCATCCACACCTGAACCCGTGGCAGAGGGACAGAGCGGGTAGGTGGTTAGTTGTTTTTTGTTTTGTTTTTATCCCTTTCTGCCTCGATTTCATTGATATTTTCTCCCGTATTTTCTTCTAAAAGCATAGCATCTCTCCTATTTGCATGTAGGAAAAATGCAAATAGGAAAATTTTTAATTTTAAATGCAAATAGAAACATTCAGGAAAAATGCAAATAGGAAAATTTTAAATCAAAGTATCTAAAATTTATCTTCTGTATAGTGAGGAACGAGTCTAATTTTCTCTGGATAAATGGATAATTAATTGTCCCAACCCTGTTTATTAAATAATTCATTTTTTTCTGGCTTTCCTCCAATGCCACCTTGTCTGTACAATCAACGTATACACGCACATCTTGTCCCAGGTTTTCTATTTTGTTCTATTGGTCTGTCTATTTCTGCACCAACACCATGCTTGCTAATGCTGCAGCAATCAAATGTCAGTGCAGCAAGGGCAGATCCCCCGCTTATCCTCTTGTTCAAAGCTGCCTTAACTGTTCTCGGTTGCTTTCCCTTTCAAACGACTTTTAGGATCAGCTGGCCAAGTTTAGGGGAAAAAAGACTCTAGAATTTTCTCATAATTGGGTTGATTTTACAGATCAATTTGGAGAGAATCACCATGTTTACAAAATTGAGCTTTCAACCTCAAAACATGCCATTGCTCTCATTTTTCTATATGCCTTCAGTAACATTTTATAAACATCTCCCTGAAGGTCTTATACATGTCGGTCAACCTATTTTTAGGCATCTTGTGGCTTTTATTCTAAAGATGATCTTTCTTTATCACTGGGTGTTGCTGGTATGGAGGAAATCTCTGGGTTTGGGACCGATTTTGTATGTGGTGACATTTCAGAGCAATCTTCATAGTTGTGACAGTTTGTCTGTAGGTTATTTTGGCTTTCCAATAGAGACATTTGAATAATCCACAAATAATGCACAAAATTTGATGGAGGAGCATCCGCTCACCCTTGCTGATCGTGTTGTTCAGGACAGATCTTTCCTGGCCTGACTTACTGTTTGGTCAGTCTGTTACCTTCTGTGAGATGGGGTATTAAAATCTTCCATCATGGTATCAACTGTTCATCTTTTTTTTTCAAGTCTGTCAAATTTTGCTTTATATATTTTGTGGCTAAATTGTTGTATGTTCGTCTTACACGATGTAATGTTTCTCTTTATCCCCCCAAAAAGTTTGCTACCTAATGTGTAGTTTGTCAGATCTCAGTATCATGCAGTTTCTTTCGGTTGATATTTGTCTGAGATATTGTTTTCCTTTCCTTGGCTTTCTAATTTTTGATGATCTAGCTGTGTCTCCTGTAATGCCACACAGCTAGATTAGGAAATGTGTTTTTTAGCAATTTAAATGGATCTGCTCGTTTTCACTGTGACTAATGGTACGCTTGGACCTATTCCCGCTGTCTAATCCTGTGTTTTGTAGATACTGTGAAATGTGCATTGTTCCCAACTTGTTTTTATCTTTTACTGGTGTGGAAAGTAGAAAAGTTCCTTTTTAAGGTTTCTTTTCTTGTTAAAGAATAAGTGTGCTAACAACTTTGTAAAGCCCTATGTAGCTGTTTGACATGCCGTGCTTACAGGCACGCAGCACATTCCATGTCCTTGTATTTTAAACAAGATACCTGTGCTGGACATGCTCACAGACATGTCCCAGCTCTCCACTGCTTTTACCTGTTTAGAAAAGTTTTAAGTTGTTAGCCAGTCGGGTTTTAGTTCAGATTGTGAGGTCTGGCTCCAATCAACGGAGAACACACACAGCAGTAAGGACGACCCCAAATGCATAAGGGATACATTTGTATGTTTCCCTTTGTTCCTTGTACTCTCATGGCACAATAGCTAGTGAGGGTCCCCTTCCTGCAGTCACGCGTTGCTAAAACATCTCATCTCAGTGCTAATTTTTCTTTGCAGCACCGAGTATCTATTTCCAACAACTGTATTCATCATTCTTTGGATCTCTAAGCTGTATTCTGGGATATTTTTTGCCTCTACCTTGGAAGTCATATATTCTGTTTAGTTATTTTACTCAGTCAATGCACTGCAAAGACCATCAGAGCGCCCCTGTGGCTGAACAGATTGGTTTATCACCTGGTGCGGCAAGGGAAAACGTGTAGGGGGCGAGAAAGGCCCAGGTGTGGGCTGTGGGAGGTGATTTGGGGAGGGTTTAGTGAAGCCAGGCTTGGCTCAGCCAGGACGCGGTGTCTGGGCATGTCAGGGGCGGGGAGTTGGACAATGTTTCCCATGGATTCAGATGTGGTTGCAGGGTGCTGTCATTTTTGGCTCCAACTTTCTTGTAGCAGAGGGACCTCATCCAGGGTTGATGCTCGGTGGTTGGTTGTTCAATCAGCAAACACCCAGGTCCAGCTGTGAGTAACAGGCTAGCTCCTGGATGGGAGGGGCTGCTCCTTTCTGTCCTACGTGGTTACTTTTCAGTTTTTAAGTTGCATATTTAACTTGTAAATATAAAGTTAATACTTCCGCCCTCCTCCAGACTAGGAGAAACATGATTCCAGGGTTCTCTCTGCCTTCTCGGATACTGATCTCCATTATTTTGGTTCTGTGCTGTTTTCTAAACTCTTCATTGTTTAAATTACCACTGTTCCTTTGTCCAGTATTCTTTCTTGTTTCCATCACTCCCTCTGTTCTCCTTTACCGGTTTAAAATTGCCGGTTTCTACAGAATAAGATACGTTCTGCTCCTACAGGATCTTGTCATCCTGTTCTCCAGGTCTCTTCTTTCATATTTCCCATCTCTTTAGACCTCTGAGCTGTCTTCTGGAACCACCTTCTCACATTTATCTTCTAGTTCATGTACTGTTTCTTTAGCCTCAATTTCATCTGCTATTATATTAATTAATCCACTTAGATATCTGTTTTCATTACTATAATTTTCGTTTTTATCTTTCTTTCTTTCTTTTTTTTTTTTTTTTTTTTTTTTTTTTTGAGATGGAGTCTTGCTCTGTCACCCAGGCTGAGTGATCTCCTATAAGATCTCGGCTCACTGTAACCTCTGCCTCCCAGGTTCAAGTGATTCTCCTGCTTCAGCCTCTCGAGTAGCTGGGATTACAGGCACCTGCCACCATGCCCAGCTAACTTTTTGTATTTTTAGTAGAGACAGTTTCACCATGTTGGACAGGCTGGTCTTGAACTCCTGACCACAGGTGATCCACCCGCCTCGGCCTCCCAAAGTGCTGAGATTATACATTAGAATGTGCTTATAACGTGTGTTCTTTTGAAAACAGAGGGGATTAATAGCCCTTAAAACAAGACACTGTGAAACAAGACAAGACACTGAGAAACTATACCTTATGAATGAAAATTATAGTAATGAGGCCACGCGTGGTGGCTCATGCCTGTAATCTCAGCACTTAGGGAGGCTGAGGCGGCTGTCACACAGGTAATAAACAGTGGGGCAGGAACTGAAATTTACGTCTTTATGTCTCCAAGGCTCACATATTTTCTAAATCCACCATGCTCCTCCCTGATGATCTCACATCACCAGGAGATGCACCTAACTCAGCAAGACGATGATAAAACCAAGGCCTCCATCCTTCAGGTAAGAGAGACTTCTTCCCTTTTCTATGGTAAAAGGCTGTACCTCTGGCAGCCTGGAGATGGTGCATGCTGCATTTGGAATGCAGATAAAACACAGGCCTGGACAAAAGTACCTGCAGCCTAGACTTCAGTTCTAGTGGACGCTGTAATTCATAACACATGCACTTAACTCTCACAAAACTGCACTGTGCTACTGGAACAGTTCATTAAATCCCATCTCTGATCCCTCTTGTGAGGAGTTTACAGTAATCTGTTAGAGTACTAGGGAAACCAGAACATTCTAGAAAATTCTACAGAGTCTTTTTTTTTTTGAGATTGGAGTCTCACTCTGTTGCCCAGGCTGGAGTGAGGTGGTACAATCTCAGCTCACTGCAACCTCTGCCTCCCAGGTTCGAGTGATTCTCCTGCCTCAGCCTTCCAAGTAGCTGGGATTACAGGCACATGCCACCACGCCTAGCTAATTTTTGTATTTTTACAAAAAATGGCGAAATGATGGAAACCACCCAGAGTAGGTTTCACCATGTTGGCCAGGCTGGTCTCAAACTCTCAACCTCAGGTGATCGACCCTCCTCGGCCACCCAAAGTACTGAAATTACAGGAATGAGCCACCGTGCCTGGCCAGTCTTCATTCTTTGAAAGGTGAGTTTGCATTGTCACTAAAGTATATAAGGGTCTTTGCTGGGTGTTTTGAGAATGCAGCTAAAATTAGCAACAGGATTCCACGATGAGTGATAAGGCCAAGACCTGCACGAGACGCGGCCTGCAGGAATCACACAAACCTCTTCAGCATGATCACATGCAGGCTGGTCAATGCTCACGTTCAGAAGAGCTGCTTCCTCGGGCTAGAGTGCTGGTTCGCTACCAGGTCATTCGGTGGCCTCGGGTAAGTTTTACTCTTCGTCTCAAACTTTTGTGTATTATGGGGAGAAAGGGAAGAGCTACTAATGGATGCCTAGTATGTGCTGAAAATTTGGTAGTGTCCTCCTGGAAACAGGGAGGGTTTTTAGGTGGGGTGAGCTCTAAAATCAATTCCTGAGGCAAACACCGGAGTGCTGGGGGCAAGTGGGGATTGCAGTTTTAAACAGCACAGTCAGAGTAGGCCTTGCTGTGAAAGTGACAAGGGAGCCAAGGTCCGGAGCAGGGCAGAGTGAGGCTGCAGCGCGCCCAGAAAGCCAGAGGGGTGCAAGGAAGCAGCGGGGCCTGGCGGAGCATGCAGGTGGCATCAGAGGGCAGCCAGGGCCTGACATGGTGGGCTTTGCAGAGTGTGGTGAGGACTCTGGCTTTATGCTCTGTGAAATGAGAAGCTGCTGGGGGTTCTGCACAGAGAAGCAGCATGATGTGACTCAGTGTTCCCTATCACATCTACTGTGCAATGACTGTAAGATGCCCACTTATTTTCAGTATCACT